CATGCGGTTCGGATTCGCACGCTGACTCGGCGGAGCAGTGCCGCCAGATTGTTGCAACAGCCCAGCGCACTGGTGAGACGCAGCGCCACACGACTCAGGTAACCTGCTGAGGAGTTCCTCTCCATTGCCTCTGCAATACGCCGGACGCATGGGGCGCGAACACGTGCACGCTCATGCTAGCGTGCCAGGGGGCCGACGCGCCACACTACACAACGAAGCGCGCCGCCATGCAAGGACTGTGGGTCAAGCCGCCTGATACTAGCCAGGTGCAATCCGTAGCAGGTCAACGCCACCGTCAGACCCAGTAGAACCAGAGTGGCACTTCAAGAGCTTCATGACTGGCGGTTGCCACGTAGACGGGCTCAGTCCGCATACCAGTGAACGTGAACGTACTAGTTAGCATGTCCGCAGCGGCTGGATGCAAGGCAGCGTGCCCAACAACCATGAAGACAACCATAGCTGTGTCGTGGTACTGTACCGAGCTTGATAGTCTCCTTAGTAGCATCGTTTGGCGTTCCTCTGCATCGGGTTGATGACAGGACTCCTGGCTTTTGGAGCGAGGCGCGCGTGACGCGCTCTACGCAAACAAGTCCGGCAGGTCCGAGGACGACCTGTAGAACACTAAAGCGTTAACCTAATTCCGAATATGCGTACAGGCTATCGGCACGCCCAGTTCATTGGATGTGTGGTTTGGCCACTGCGCCTCGCCCGCTTGCTGTCACTCCGGCTCCTGCGGCACGGTATGGCACAGGCGCTGCATGTTGCAAGGTAAGCTCAAGTTGATGAACGCTGGGTAACTAAGTTCATGAACACACCACACACCTACAGTCATGCATCCCCATCGTTCCACCCTGATGCATAACAGACAAATGCGTTGTAGTTGTAAGTTTCCGGGAACGGGTCGAATACGAACTCCACCCCAGGGTCCACATTGACCACCAACTCCCCGAGCCGCGTCATGGCAGCAGACATACCAAATCCCGGCACCAAATCCACAGATAGCCTCGTCACGCCCGGTGCGACAGCGGCCGTCTGCCAGACCCAAGGTGCCGTCGTGATCTCCACGATGGCCGGTGCCTGCGCAAAGATGACGGCCCACAATTTGTCCTCGGTCTGTATAGCACGGCCCGGTATCAGCCAGCAGCAAGAGCGTACCTGCATACAATTGGCAACACGCACCAGTTCATACGAGGTGGGCTTGCCAACTGTATCGTTCCATGCGATCGCGTCCTTGGGATGCGGGCGCGCCCACATAAAGATCTGGTCCTGCGTGATGGGCGGGTAGATGCCTGTTCTGAATGCAGTTGCGTAGTAATTCGTCATTGCGAGCCATCCTGTGTGAACAGTCCACATGATCAGTATCTCACAAGACGCACCCAGACTATCGGAACTGACCAAGATGCGGCATGTCGTTCGTCCAGCCCTGAGAGTTGGGCTGAGCGCCCTCGATGGGGCCGATGTAGTGCGATTCGCTGTAGTCGTTCCAAGTGATGATCTCCACGACGTCGACCATGTCCCTGTTCTCGATAAGCGTTGTCCACCGCTGCTCATAGGACCAGTAGTCCGCGAGGTATATCCACTTACAGACAGGACGCGCATCAGTCAAGAATTCCGCAACGAACAGCCTGAGCGAGGGGACAGCTCACGTTCTTGTCGTACGTTTCGGGCGAGTAGTGCGTGAAGAACCAAGGGCTGACGGCGACCATGTACGTCTTGTCCGTACCATTGACCATATTCAGCCCCGCTATGTACTGTAGGTCGGTCGTGAAGGCCCCAATATTGCTCCCCAGTGCATACTCGACCTGAGGCGGGAAGGTAGAGAAGTTCAAGGACAACGCGCCCAAGCCGAGATCAGACGCGGCGGAGGCGTATGTGAGGTCGATGAGCCAACCACCATTCCACTAACGTGTTTCCTGGTCAATGGAAAACACTAGCTCAAATGCAACCTACATTGAAGTCCCCATCCATAACCCCGTCGTAGTCATCGAATGTGCTCGGATCGACGAAGAATGACGGGACGAAGTGCACTGCATTTTCTCCCGTGAGTTTGTCAACAAACTCCGCCTTCCAGCCTTCAGCAGATGAGTTCTGCCCGAAGGTGCAATCGGAGCCAGAGAATGTCGACACGAACACGTTACTGTTCCATCTGAGCTGGTTGGGATGCGACGAGTAGTTTGCGACATATGGACGCAAGAGCGCCGCGCTGGCAGCGCTGCTGCATGGGAAGGATGACATATCGAGAGAGACGAACAGCTTGAAGTCGTATCCTAGGTTCTCTGCCGCCTGGTATCTAGCGGAGACGCGTCTTTTCCTGCAATGTATGCGCATGATCATGACGCGAGAGGGGTACTCACGCGTTCGCGACTTGGTCGGCCTCCCAGGAATCGCTGCCGACATTTAGCGCAAACCCGTCAAGCCCGGATCGGTACGCCAACTGTATGTCAGACTCCCATGTAGATAGGTTGTAGGGATACGTGTAGCCTATGATGTGATGGGCAACCACCAGCTTGTTAGTGGCCAAATCACGTCCGGTCGGTGGTGCTGTTTGCGGGAGAGCTTGAGTTACCAGAGCCACTACACCAAGTAGCGCAGCGAAGCAGAAGCGTCGTAGATGCATGTCGAGACAGCAGCGCACCTGCGAGCGACATGCATATGCTGCTCATATACCCCTCGTTGGCTCTATATCCGGTTATCTTCCACTCACCGAGTAGCTCACACGACAAATTCAAGGACTGGTCCGGCATAGGTTGAGTGAACAGGGTTCAATGTCGGCGTGAACTTGCTCACCAGCTATAATTGGGCACCGTCTCGTCCACGGTAACCACGCGGCTCTCGACCATCTCCGGGAGAAGGTGCCGTGAGCTCACAGAACAGGCGTCCCGGCTTGTACCTCTATGCCATAGAACCCCTACAGAAACAGGAGACTGCACTACTCGCGAAGAGGGATATCGTTATCAGTTGCTAGGTGTTGACAATCATGCCGCAATGCAACATCAGCCTCATCTTATGAGGATGAAATTTCACTGAACCAAGTACCAGGAGAAATGTTGCTGTTGGTAGGTTTGTGCCAAGGATGGAGTCGCTGGACGTACACGAAACGTATAACCGTGGCCTTGAACGGTGCAGGCGGTCTTCAGGAATTGAACAAAGTCGGATGTTCACAGCCAATCGACATTCAGACGCTCATGTTGTCGTGCTTTTGAAGCATATAGGATATGTGTGGAAATAGGGACCCAGCGGCCTCCGTCTGAACGCCATCGCAGCTGCTGAGCGCTGAGCGCTGAGCGACCGTCGCGTCGCGTCACACGTGACTCGAGAACGCGCGTTCCCAGGACGCGTCAGTAGTGCGCGTCTCGACCCGGAACACGGCAGATAAAGCTTGGATCTCAATCGATCGCATTGACCCTCCGCTTCGTAAAATCCCGCCTCTGTACTTACTATCAGGGGCCGAGCACCTTGAACGTCTGCAGTTCACTGACCTGGGCAACCATGGCATCTCTTCAACGGCGTCGCAGCATGTCGGACTTCCTCAGAATGCAGGCGGAGCGCGGTGGAGGAACCGACTGGGTATTCAATGAGATCTTCGCGCACATGCAGAACGACCTCGCACATCAGCGGTGCGTCCCACCTTTGAGGGATATACTACTCCTGCGATGATGCTGAATTCGTCTCTACGTGCCAACAGCAAGCTCAAGGAGCTCTCCGATAACCTTCCTAGGCTGACAGAGCAAGACCTCGCTGCGGCAGGCGAAACAGACTCGCCATGCCCCATTTGCTTGACACCATTCGCGGCCATTCTAGCCGAAGAGGAGATGGCTCTGGCGATGGACACTCCGGCGCACCCGGTCGAACAACTCGGCGTCACTCGCTTCAAGGACACGTGTAAACATATATTCTGCCGGAAGGAGTGAGCGCAACCACTGTAACTTCAGGATGGAATCACTGATCGAGTGCGATCCGCATCGTACCCAGTGCACTCAGCTGGATGAGGCAAGGGGTGCGTACTCATTGCGTCAAATGGTCTCTCCGCGAAATTTCTTCCTTCATGCAATGTTTCACGTACAATGCTCACGCCGCACTCTCCGACAGCGCGTAACCTGCCCCACATGTCGCCGCCCATTCATCGAACTACCCAATGATGCCCCGGTCGCCGACGGGCAGCAGCCGCCTTCCGCGGCGCCCGGAGCCGACCCCGGGGAGCACTTCGTCAACTCGGCCGACCTCTTCATGGGGGCAATGGAGAACCTGCGCGACATGGGCATCGATCCAGAGGCGTTCTTCGTGCAAGCTACCCGAGGCGCACGCAGACAAGAGGACGATCGGGAACCCGAATTCTCTGGGATGTACTCTTAGCCGTGATGACCGGTCACTGCGCTGCATTGTTTGAACTTTGTACGACACAGGTCTTTGTTTATTACCTTGTACTCTATGTTGGAAGGGTGTGGGCTCTCTACTTGGTGGTATCATCTCGCGCTGATAGACTGTAGGATACCCAGGAGTTGAATACTGATGAATTGCCCTTTTACAAGTATGAGCATTCAGACAGGAAGTCACAAGCGTATGACACCATAGGGTCTACTCAGGAAGCAGCTCCTTCAGGTTCCACAATTCGGACCCAGGTCAGTCAGTTTTTACGTAGTAGTAGTAATAGTGCCGTATGAACCTCGACGAGGAGCCAGGTTGAGTAGACATCCACCCATCGCCGAGCCAGCATACAATCCTACTTCTTCTGCTGGTAACACACATTCAAGGAGAGTGGGTATACCTTGAATTTATGGCAGATGTCAGGATTGTGCAACCTGAGCATGAGCATGAACATGAATTATAGCACCACCTTGACGGTTAACAGGAGCCTAGGGCAAGCTTCGGGCGTGGTTCTACGAGCGGTTAACCGCCAGCTCCGGTTCCCAACAAAAATCCAACTGTTCTGCCTCTCTGAGCTGCTCCATTCTCTCCATTCTGGCCAGGCGGCAGGGACTAGTAAAATAAATAAAAAACATTGATGAGAGTGGGATTCGAACCCACGCCCGTGAGGACCAGATTACGGAATCATATCCTGATATATGAACCTTAGTCTGGCGCCTTAGACCGCTCGGCCATCTCACCATGATGACAGATGTTCTATGTACAACATAATATGATCGGCGCAGTGGCAGTCACCAGTCACGAACGTCATGACCACTGCGAGTGTGTGCCAGTGGCTGCCCGATCCTGAGGCCCGTCCCAAGGACCGTACTGCGTCTTCAGTGACACTCAGTCATTGTAAATCGCTGCACGCCGACGCCGCACTAGATATCACACTTGTGTCGCGCCATTTCCTGTATCATAATGGCTACCTTCAAAGCGAATCGAGCCCTGCTAAACCCTCGATTCGAAGGATACAAACTTTCGCCCATCCCTCAAGAGCAAGCTGTATCACACTACAGCCTCCAGTACAAGCCTTCACAGTTGAACGTTTCGGGACGTTCCCATGTGTCATTCCAGGAGGTCCAGAGCAGAATCTCCCACAACCATCTCGCACTATGCAAGCAGGATGGAAGTGCTGTGTATGTAGACGCAGAGTTGAGGGTTGTGTCCATGAAACTCAGCGAGGTGAGCCGTAATGAACCTGGGAAGTCACACAGTCTTGCTTACGGTGGGCGAACAAAAGTAGGTTGATCCCCAACCCGGCCTTCGTCTACTATACGAACTGCTAAAGCCGATCATATCCCCGGATGTGGATGCGCCTCAGCGTGAGTATCCATCCGCAGGATTCTTGGATGCCACGTCGCTCTTTGTATCCGATGGCTACGGGACTCTCTACGTATTGCTCATACCAAGCACCGGCTCCGCCAAGCTCGTCGGCACATTTGAACTCGCGATCCCCGCCGCGTATGGATCATCCAGAGGTGTCGTTCCATTCCGAATTCATAACGTCGCACAGACAGCGCAGGAGGAAGCCGTGCTTATTCTCTCGTCCAAGCATTACCCGAAGGAGGACCCTGCCACCGGTAATGGCTCCTCAAACGGCGGCCACGCTCAGGCCAACGGGCCAACGTTCGACATCTGGGCGGTGCGATTTACGCTGCCTATAGCTGCTCTGCCCGATCAATCACGCCCGCTCGATATTCTCTGGCACCGACGAGGCGACGACGTTCCGATCTATACGTTCTACGACGCGGATAGACGATCCTTCATGCTTGTCGGCGCGACCTACAACACTATCAACGTCGATCCTCCCTCTGCCTACACCCCCGAGCCTGATGAACTCGCCCCCATTCCTCGCGCAAACGAGAATCTAGACGGGACCCCTTCGCAAACCCCCAATGCACCACCAAAACCGCCCCCCTACTCGTGGACGCAGACATCCGACAGCGTGACCATCGCGATTCCCCTCCCCTCGAGCACGCCCACCGACGCAATCAAAGTCGCCTTCTCGCTCCGCACGCTCACCATCTTCGTCAGGGGCACCAGCTCCGGCGAGGACCAGCCCCCCGTGCCGCTCCCCCGCTACGACATGAAGCCGCTCTGGGACCATATACAGCCGACCACCAGCATGTGGACATTCGACCGTGCGGCGGAGCGGCGCTACGGCGTGCTCACGCTCCACCTCGACAAGGCGCACGAGGGCACGCGCTGGCCGCAGGTGTTCGCCGCCCCGGGGGCCACCGCGCCCTCCGGCCCCCAACCCCACGCCGTGGATGAGGGCGTCGCGGAGACGCTCGATCCGTCGGAGCTCTACGCGATACGGGAGGCCCTCGAGAAGTACACGTCCGCGCTACAGACCGGGGAGGACGCGAGTGGGCTCGGGCTCGGGCGCGGCGTGCCGAGGCTCGCGAAGGAGGAACTGGACGACGAGCTGGACGTGAACGTCGGGCGCACCGCGTGCGTGACCTGGGTCGGCGTCGACGGGAGCGGGGCGGTCGCACATGACGACGACGCGCCGCTACAGGTGCTCTCAACACCCTTCCCTGGCGCGGATGGCGCCCCGAGCCTGGTGGTCAAGAACGGGTTGGACGGCGTGGTTTACGAACTCGGCGCGGCGAGCAGCCCAGATCAGAAGCCCGAATGGAAGCATACGTCGACCTACTCCGCCCTCGCGTTCGTGCTCGCGAGCAAACGCGACACTCGGTTCACCTTCCATGTCTCATCCCAAGCCGTCCTCGCTTTCGAGAGCGGCGCGAGGGACCTAGGCGGCAATGTATACATCTATCGTGGAGCACCAACGAAGGAGAAATGGGCAAAACAAGCTGTGCTCAGGGTGGGCGGCGGGCCCGCAGGCTCGCTGCTAGGCATCGGCTTGGTGACGGTCGGCCCAAACGCAGAACCCGTCATTCTGTGCCTCTGCGAAGGAGAGCTCATCCTCCTGCGAAACGTGCTGTAGTGCTGTGCCAAACCAAGCGAAGGAGAAGTTGCTCTAACTGTACACAAAGAGACCACGAGGGCATGTATGTATTAACTCCAGTCGTACGCGTAATCATGAATGGGTAGCTGAGCGATACACTGGACGATAATGGGTGACAGACATGAATGGGGTGTGGTATGACACATTAGACAGTCAGACGCCGACAAATAGATATAGCTAGGCCACACACAGTACAGAAGAAACGAGAAACACAACAGACAGTATGATATCCTATGCTACACCTTGAGCGGGTCCTCGCTCTTGTCCAGTAGACTCTCCGCCTTCACCGCCGTGCTCGCCTCGTCCCCGCCTGGTGGCATCGAATGCTGTTGCAGCGGCGTCGCATCCCCGTTCACCTTCGGCTCGGGCGGCGGCAGCGGCGCCTCCCCCTGCCGTGACGACCCATTATGCATGTCAACATCCCCGTCCCCGTCGAGCCCGCCGTCCCGCTCGAGCTCGTCCAACTGCTCCTTCAAGCTCTTCGTCGCATCCCGCCGGAACATGTCAAATTCCTGGTTGCCCTCGCTCGAGGGGTAGATCCCCATGGCGTCCTCCATATCCGCCTCGTCGCTGTCATTATCGTCGCTGTCGTCGTTGTCGAACATCAGCGGCGCCCCGATGGTGATCCCCGTGCTGGGGTGGAACGAAATGCCGCCAGTGCTTCCCAGCACCCGCGCGAAGCCGCCGAACATCCCAGGCCCACTAAGGCTCTCGTCATCGCCATCGCCGAAGTGCTGATCCCTGTCAGGTGAGGAGCTCGAGGACGCGTTCTGGGCCTCGCGTTGAGCCCGACGCGTGTTCCATGCCTCGCGTCGTGCCTTGAAGGAAGCGAGCCTGCTCGGAGAGTAGAGCTGCGGAAGCTCATCCGGCGTCGGGTGACCGTACTTCTGTTGTACCCGCTCGGTGATCCACTTGTACCATTCCTCAATCGTGCGACCGTGGAGGATCGCGACAATGAGGATGGTCATGTTGTCGCATCCGATACCAGCGCCGGAATTGGTATCGGGCGCGAGACACAGCTCACAGATGTCCTCGCCCACCTGAGACAAGTCCTTCCCCTGGGAGATCATGAGGCGGATAACGTCCACACATTGTTGCGAGCTGAGGCAATCCCAGATGCCTGAAGACATGACGCACGCATCAACGCCGATGTCCACATGTCGAGGAAGATCTCGGCTCACCATCGCAAGCGATTATCAAGAATTCGTCTTCGTCGGTCATTTCGTGCTCAGTGATTTCAGGATCACATGTTATGATCTGAGCTTCTGGTGAGAGCGTGTCGTTCCGCTTGTAGTCGAAATCTCCCAATGCGCGAGCGAGAGCAAGGTTTCCTACGTCACTGTGAGAATTAGACGCAAGAACGATGAGGAGACAGGATTCGGATGCTCGCCATTGACACGACCAAACGATATGTAACCACCGGCTGCGGCGATACGATTCTTCTCCACTGAAGCACAGTAGTGTCAGCGGCAGGATGCTCGGCGCCACGCATATAGCGATACACCGCACCTTCGTTCTGAGGTTTGTGATCGAAGCTGAGAGGTTTTGCCTCCCCTTTCACGCTGATAACCGACCGCGAGTCGCCCGCGTTGGCCTGCCAGGCCTGTGAGGAGAATCGATAGACGGAAGGAAGTGCATACACGCACCACGAATACTTTGCCATCGTTTGTGACGAGTGCAGCAACTGCTGTGCACCCAGAGCTGTCCCTCTGCATTTCTGGCGCTAATCGAGAGTACCGCTTCGGTATAGTGGAGACCCGGTCTGAAAAAGTGGAGCTCACCATGGCGCATGTCGTCGTCGGTGTGTATAAACGCGTTCTTGAGAGCGGCGCGATACTCCTTACGTTGGTATGCCTCATCGGATATGAGTTTCTTGTGCACATACTCTCCTGCGTATTTTGCCGCCGCAGCACCTTCGGGAACAGAGAGTCTGGGTCAAGGGCATTGGGAAAAAGGACGTATAGCATACCACCGTGACCATCGTACACAGCGAAGAACGTGTTTGAGTCATCCCGGCCTTCATCGAGGTTCAGGGAAATCGTGTGCGCGTCCTCCATGGCTTAGATGAAAGTATGTCAGGCTCGCCTGATAACAGGTCGCTCTGCCCCCCGCAGACAGCATCAGGCAGTGTTCTCGCGCTGCAGAACACGACAGCACGAGGTGAATGACGAAACTTACTGAATCGCCACCCTTGCATCTCGGAGACCCCATAGTAGAACTGCTGATTACCGCCATTCTCCGTCGCTTTGTCGGTCGCTGAAGAGCATGTAAGCAATGGGTAAAGACCCTACATGGCATCGCAGTCTACCGACCGGGCATAGACAGGGTTTGTCCCTAAGCACGCGCCACCATAACATCAGTGCCTAGGACACTGGACGAGGGCAGGAGGACAGACCATCTTTGTCTCTTGATGTCGGACGCGTACGCGATGATATCAGCGAGAGTGGACCACGATTGCGGCGCGGAATTGCTCGTGAAAGTGAAAGTTCGTAACAAAGACAGAGAAGGACGGAAGACGACAGCCGGCGGGAGCGGGAGTAGATGGTCGTGTGGGCGAGTCAAGGGGCTGTTGACGGTTATTTGCGGCGAAAATCGCAAAGGTGGGGTTTGGTGGTGAGTTCTGCAAAAGGCAGGTACTGGCGTCTGCCCTGGGCCTATCTCGACCACATGCACAGCCGATCTCCGCTTATATTATTCTCCACCTTCGATACCCCGCCCTGCC